CTGGTTGCCTGAGCTCCAGGGTGAGAATGTTGGCTTGATGTCGTGCGTGTGTTGGTGGCCGTGTTCGTCCCATTGACGTTGTAAAAAGCAACGGTATTTTGAGTTTATAACAGTCAGATGGTCAGATACTGGGCAGGCGAGATGGTTTCGGGCTGGCATGTTGATGCTTTCTTTTGCGGCAGCGTCGGCGAGGTCACTCCCTGGATGCCCGCATGGCCTGGTATCCAGACGAAAACCACGTGTGACTCCGCTGGTAGTGATGATAGTGTGGAAAGGATTTTATAAATCAAAGGGTGTGAGGAATTGTGCAGAGCTGATATGGCGTGCAGGGAAGAGCTGGAATCGGTGCTAATTACAGTTCGTTTGATGGCATGTTTTTTTAACGTGGCAAAATGCTGAAAAAGTTGCCACTAATTCTGACGTGTATACATTACATACAGTATACAGTATACAAACGCCATCTGAAAGGCGTTTGGCTTTGGTATAATGGTTACAAATATATGCCACTCCCGTGCGGTCATCACCTCGGGAGCCATTGGTATAAATGTATGTATATGTGTTGTGTTTATTACGAAATTCCGCAAGTAGGGACTGGGCCTTCGTATCTGCAACGGTACGTTTTTTGTGTGCGGATAGAAACCGAATCGTTGCAGGAGTGTCCAGCCAGAACAGGCGTAGTGGAGGCGTGGGATGCGTGTGAATGTGTGGCAGTTGAAACAGGTGTTGTGCTTGTGTTACGCGAGCGCTGTTGTGGGGTGCTTGCTGCGTTGTGAAGTGGGTGCTGTTAGTGGTTTGAAAGTGGGCTGGGTGGGTCTGGCAGCTGCCCGCGCGTGGAATCTGATAAGTTGTTGCTTGCGTCGGTGTATGAATGGTGGTATGTGTGCATCCGCCAGTATGCTGGACACCGGGGAGGTTCGGAGGGCGCCAGTGACCACGCGGAGAGCGGCGTTCTGAATCGTTTCCAGGGTCTTAATTTTGCTCGAAGAAATACCATCAAATATAAAGGCATTTAAGTCCAAGATCGATCGTATCAAGGCGGTGTACAAACGGAGCAGGGTACGCCTATCGGCTCCCCAGTGTCGTCCGGCAAGACATTTTAGGATATTAAGTCGTCGGGTACAGCCCTGTTTTAGGTCGGCAAAATGGGGCGAGAAAGTAAGTCGGCTATCCAGGGTGATCCAGAGATACTTAAATTGGGTGACGAGTGGGATGAGTTGACCATGCAGGTTCAAAGGGGCTCGAGGCGCAACGATTATGCGATGTCTAGAAAACATAAGCGCTGCTGATTTTAGCGGTGAAATCTCGAGCCCTCACCGGTCACACCATGGGTGGATGTGATTTAGAGCAAGTTGTACAAAGCAATTTGCTTGATCGACACTGGGTTGGGTAAACCACACCGCCAGGTCGGCGGCGAAAACAGAATAGTTCAGATGTGGCGAAATTTCATGCAAATCATGAAAAAACGTCGATGATCATAATCAAAAAGAGCGTCGGCGAGACCACACTGCCTTGGGGAAGCCCATGGTCCTGTTTCGCAGGCGCTGACAGCGTATTCCCGCAGCGAACGGCAAAGGTTCCATCTGCTAAGAAATTTTGCAAAAATTTCGCGAGTCGGCCACGGACTCATATCCCGTGCAGTTTAATCAGAAGGGCAGTCTTCTTTACTTTATCAAATGCGGCTTTAAGATCCAAAAATAGTGTAACCGTGACCATTTTTTTGTAGGAAACCACTTTGGACTGAGTCAACAAGTTGGACGAGGCTGTCCGCCGTGGAGCGGCCAGGGCGGAAGCCGTTTTGGTAAGGGCAAATAAGATTGTGGGACTCTAAGTAGGCCCTGATTCGAGCGGTGACCATTCTTTCAAATAATTTCGATGCGCAGCTTGACAGAGAGATATGACGATAGCTCAAAAAATCAGACGGAGGCTTGCGAGGTTTTAGTATCGGGCTAAGAGTGCTAGAACGCCAAGTATCAGGGAACGTTTCATTAATCCAAATATCGTTAAAGGCAGAGATGAGATTTATAAGTCCAGACTCAAACGGTTTTCTGGAAAAAGCGCAAGCGGTCTGGTCTGGGTCGATCGAGGTGTTGCCGCACTTGTTGATGGCCAGCCTCAGTTCATACGACGTGAAGAGCGCCTTATAGTGTTCGGTGTTGTCAGTAGTAAAGTCGAGTGCATGGAGTGTGATGCTGAGCGAATTCTTGAGCTGTTGGGAGTATTGATCGGACGACGAAACACGGGCGTAGTGTAGTGCAAATTGCGTGGCGATCTCAAATAGCACTTCTTAGTGTTGGCTGTTGACTATGAGGTGTGGGGTTTTGTAGTGGCATGTGCGTTTATTGATGAAGCTCAGCATTAGCGACCATATTTTTGACAGAGGGGTGAATCGGTTAAACGTGGTAACGCAATCACGTGGTGTACGTGGTGGCGAGGTCCTCTCTCAGGGAACGGGGAGGTGGTCCAACTCGACCCTGATGGGTCTGCCCCCAGACTGGTCCGGGGGGAGCCAGTCGTCGATGACCCCGGCTCTGACACTGCTCTCGGGCGCGCACAGCGAGAGCCGCCGAACGACCGTGAGGTCTGAGGGGGCGTCAACGGGGTTTCGGTGTTGACGGGTCTGGCCCGAAGGGCCGGGGGACGAGCCTCAGGGGGCGGAAGCTGGGGGTGGTGGCCCGGGGACCGGACCTCAGGGGCCGGGGACCAGGCCTGGTGGGCAAGGGTGCGGGCCATGGGGGCGCCCCTCAAGGGGTGCCCATCGGGCGGGGCCACACCTCCGCTCTCCGCTCCACCCCGGAAGGGGGCGGATCGGGCGTGCGCCCCCGCCGGCGTGGGCCAGGCCCCAGTCTCGTGGGAGGGAGCGCGAAGAGGGAGGAGCGGGGAGGGAGCGCGAGGAGGGAGGAGCGGGGAGGGAGCGTTGTTCTTTTGTTTTAGCCTGAGATTGGCCGGGATCTCCAAACACGCCGGGCAGGCGCGACGGTCCCATGCCGGGTGGGGGTCAGTACAGGAAGCACAGCGCGGCTCCTGGGCGTCGCACTGGCGAGCCGAATGGCGGCCCACACATACCCCGCACTAAACGGAGCAAGGGGTTGGGTCCAAGCTCCGGACGGCGCGACAGCAGGCGCACCACCCCAGTGACACCCTGAGCAAGACACTCGCCTAGAATGTCCTCCCCGGACATCTCGGCGAGGGTCGGGGCGTAGACGACCGCCTGAACACTGTACAGGCGGTCTGCCATGGCAACCGCGCCGTCGCGGACCAGAAACCGGTTGAGTTTCAGGAGTACGTAAGCATAATGGGCGCCGTGAACTTCGGCCAGGAAGGCATCCCGAGCGGAGAGGTTTGGCCCCCTCGACCTCTCCGACGTGGTGCCCAATTTCGCAGCGCACCGCGAACGGGTTGAGTGATGCGAAATTTTTGCCGTCCCTATTTTTAATTAGAAGTAACCATGGCCCGTCCGGCGGCGCGGGCGGCGGGTGAGCGCGGGCCCCACGGCGAGGGGCGGGTCCCGGTTCGCGGCGAGATGGGGATGGAGACTCGGGCGGCATGCTTCACGTCTTTGTGCTTGTGGTTGTGCCCGTGTTTTTGCTACAAGTGAGTGCTTAAGGCCAATAGTGTGGGCTTAAGGCCTGGCAGTGTTGCGTAAGGCCGCGCTTGTATTTTACGTGTTCGAGGAGACGGCGAGACGAAAGGAGAAAAAGCCACCGACAACTAAACCCTTCAAAACTGTACGAACTCTCAGCCCTCAAATGAACACCTTGAACAAGAAGACTCAGCTAACGACGCAGCCCCCCGGTTAGACGTAAGAGACCGTCTCCGCCTAGCTCGCGCCGCGCGGCGCGCATGCGCAAAGCCCGCCGGTGAGCCCCGGGGCGAGGCCGCGTCCAGGCCGGACACTGCCGCCAGGTGTCTAGGTAATTCATAGTAAGCATGTCCCACTGTACGCATTACGTGATCATCAATGGAATGCCAGTTTGACTGTGACACCCGTTGACAAAGAGGGAGATAGCAGCAGGGTCAAAGACGTTTTTGTAGCGTCATCTGGCGGCAAGAATCCAAACCAGCCTGAGTGCCGGGGACGCCGGTCGTCCTGAACACTGGATCTGTGCGCCCGGACCTCATGAACGCCCCCAATGGGCAAGGAACTGGACACATGCTAGAAGTCATGAATGCTGGACGTTGTGACCTTGGACGACACGAACACCGGACGCCGCAGTCCTGGACGTTTTGATGGCTCCCGACAAAAGAACTGGATGGACCAACCACTTAACTGACAGCATCAAAACACAAACAGGTCTCATCGACATATCCACCTCCTCCCAGACCGTGGCCCTGGCAGCCAGCGCTCTCTCTCTCTCTCTTTCACACACACACACACACACACACACACACACACGCACGCACACACACACCCACACACACGGTCGGCGGTGACGTCTCCGATTGTATTTGGCGACGCAGGGAGATCTCAGTCGGAACACGGTGAGAATGGACGCATCAGGGCAGCGTTCGCAAAATTTCCTCTCCTTTGAACACCGAGTGGAGCTGTCGCACGGCACATGAAGACAGCATTCCATGGCAGTAACGGCTCGGAGGATCGAATGATCCGCAATGATCTGAAATACCCACGGTACGAAAACGGACAATGACAGCCACAAATGAACGGCAGTCATGCCACTGCGCTACACCCAAGCGTCCATCGGCCTCTACACCTATCCGAGTACTGCTTGTTCGCATTTCAACGCTTGATCATAGGCACTCGGTGGCCGGCCGTGGCGCTGGTACTCGACAGCCACGCTCGACAATGAACATCGCACGACCACCGACCCCCACAACCCCATTACGCTCACGTACACCAAGACATGCACCCACATCAAACTGACATGGTTAGCGAGCGGCCCTTCGTAGCAGCAGTAACAATCAGACGCTCGGTCCATTTTGTTTTCAGGGACACCACGACCCGACGGCCCGAATCCAAACGCAACACCTAGGCCGCCAAAGCATCAAAGCCGGTCCTTAAACAGTAGCACCATCACGGCGAACACGTTGAAGGCGACGCTGAAGCCGAGCACCAGCGCTACGAGCACGCTCTTGTGCGAGGCGGCCGCACCCAGCAGGCTGCCATCGGGCGTCTGCGTCGACACGAACGAGCGTGAGCTGCGCAGGCTGCTCACGTCGTGAGACGCGCTCGCGCAGCCGCGCCACGCGCCGCCGCAGCTGCGCCATTCGCTGGGCGGCGCACCGCAGCAGCTGCGCGCGTCGCACTGCGAGCCGACGCAGCTGTGTGTCTCGTGCGCGAGCTCGGCGCGCGCCGCCGCTGCCGACTCGTCGCCGCCCCAGGCAGAGGTCGAGGCCGGCGAGAGCCGGCCAGCTCGCTCCTCGCTCAGCGCCGAGCCACCGCCCGAGCCGTACGCGTCCACGAAGCCGCTCGACTGGCTGGAGGAGCGCGACAGCGGGTTCGCGAGAGGTGTCCCGGCGGCCAGCGCGCCGCCGCCGCCGCCGCGCTGCCAGTAACCGCCGGCGATCCAGGACGAGTGATGCAGCTCGCTGCGCAGCCGCGGCGGGCTGAGCACGCGCCGCGGCGTGAAGAGCGCGCTCGCCGGCGGCTGGTACGTGCGCAGCGCAAACACGCCCGGCGAACCGGCGCCCTTGCGCGGCGAGCCCAGGCTCAGCTGGGGCAGGTTGTAGTCGTCCTGCGGCGTCGGCCGCGCCGCGAACGTCGCGTGGCCGTTGGCGAGCTTCGGCGAGGCGAGCGCGGCACCGCTCGGCGACAGCTTGGGCGTCGAGGTGGTGACGGGCGTGCGGAACGGCGAGACGCCGTTCGCCGTGCCGTTCGCTGTCTGGGGTTTCATGTGCACAGTTTGCACGCCGCGGGGGTGGAGACGACGTGACCGAACAAAGAGCAGTCCGGAGACTAAAACAGTTTGAAGTGTGGCAGCGGCACTGGAATCCATGTAGCCGCCGGATGCCATTTCGACGACACAGAAGCCGGCCCAAAGAAGAACTGTCAACAGGTTTTGTACTTTGACGTAAGCACCTCTCACGAGGACCCAAAAGACAAAGCATGACAGCGCGAAAACAGCTTTGTTCTCGGCGCACGCGCAACTAACACTGCTCAGTACCGCGTAATACTCGGCCGGCAGAACACTTCTACTAAGTCTTTGGAGACAACTGCTCAGAAGCAGCAGCCACAGAAGCGTCAGTCCCGCACCATACAGCATCACCAAACTGCTGTGCACTGCACTCACGACCTGCCTCCTCGGCCTCGTCCCAGCCGACGCCTCGGCCGTCGGTTCCAGCCTGCCCACCTGCTCCTGCGCCTGCTGGCGAAGCCAGGCTAGCCAGCTGGGCCGCACAAGCTCGTCCTTCTCACGCAGCGCCCTCGCCACCACGGCCTTGCAGTAGGTGCACGTGTCATACAGGCGCTCCAGATGCGCTGCGTACTCCTCCAGCTCCGCCTCCCAGTTGTCCTCGACGATAGGACGGAAGTTGGCCAACTGGCGCGTCTTGAGCGCCTGATTCAGGTTGCAACGGTGGCACAGCTGCCAGGTAGGGTCGACGCGTTGCCGCACCTGCACGTTGTAGCGCACGTGCTGACGGTCGGTGCTGGCCGTGACAGGCAGGGCCACATCGCCTTCTGGTGTGAAGCCGTTGTACTGGTCGCACTTGGGGCACTCCCAGCTGTCACGCGAGTATGCAGGCACCTGTGAGTCTTCACTGCAGAACCAGCAGTTGACACACACGCTCATGGCTGGTGTGGCTCCTGGACCAGGCAGCTGCCAGGTGAGACATGTCAAATCAACTCCAGACAAGGAGAAAAAACATATAAAACATGTGCAACATGGTCTAGGTCTTAAACAGCACACACAGTCTAACAAAGCACCATCAAGTCTTTCATAAATACACTTTCTTTAGGAGCTTGTGATGGCAGGCAGTGTCAGGAAGGGACGGTGCAGAAGGAAAACAAGTGGGTGACATAGCATTGGCGGGTGATCAACTTTTGAATGGGGTGTTATGGTCAAGTGGTCAAAATGTTGCACTCCTGTGTATGAGGCTTGGTGCTAGAATCCTGATAATGCCATGACCGTGAGTGTTTATGTTGTCATGCAGTTGCTTGTGTTCCATGAAAAGGATGTAAGGAAGTGCATGTTTTCTTTTATCTAAAGAGGTAAATTTTTCACTCCACCTTGCCTACCCACAGCATCCTGGCCACCACTTTTTAAAAGTGACACCTAGCATCCCCAACCCACAATGAAAAGCAGTAAATTACATGCAGGAAATGCATGACATTATACTGTGACTTCAAATGCCTTGGGCATTCAAGCGTCAAGTTGTCTGCAACAAGGGAAGGGCAAAATGGCATCTTTGAGTCGTAGCAAAGATGTACTTTTCCAGGGATAAAAATGGAAGTGGGCTGAGGAAAAGGTCACTGAGGTTCGCAGCACATAAAAAACCAGGGATAAAGTGAGTTGATATATTTTGAATTCTGGGCACATTATAGCTTGGGCCTGTTAAGCCCTGCATGATGACACAACCCTCATGACAATTCCGAGCTATCCTGACAATTTTGCATGCTTTGAAATGCCTTATGAGTGCCTACACTCTCATGAAACAAAACAACCAATGTTTTGTCAATATAAAGCAATTACTCAATATGCAGCATGATTATACCTGCCTCATAACGAACAGCACACATTTAAAAAGCATGGGATGAGGTTTCAACCGGGTCAGGGTGTACTTTCCTACCTAACGTTAGAAAAAATCATTGTACACCATTTGTCGTGTTTAAGGCAGGACATATCATAAATAATCCCAAAACAGGTAGAATCATGCTCGTATCTTCCAATTTCAATAACTTCGATGGCGGGCTCCCGAGCGCCGCGCGCACCGCACCGCCTGGACTCCCCAGCCCCGTTTCTGCATTGCCGTTGCGTAAATACAATATTTCTGCTTACCAAGAACTCTACAAAATGTACGGGACCAAGGTAAACCATTCGTCGTGTTTAAGGCAGGACATATTGTAAATAATCACAAAACAGGTAGATTCATGATCTTACCTTCAATTTTTTATAACTAAGATGGCGAGCTCCCGAGCGCCGCACACACACAGCACCCGCGACACCGGCGCCATTACTGCGCGGGACACAACATAACTGCGCATCAAGCAGCATCAAGACCCATAAAAATGTGCCGGGCGAAGGTAACAAGAATCCATGAAATTTGATCCTCGACGTCAACGGGACCATGGGTTGCAGGGGGATTGGGTGGGGAATGTAAAGCAAAATGAGAACATGGCAGCTAAATAAAAGCTCACTATATGGCACCTATATATGGCATGGAACATGGACGCCAATGGGACGCCGGGTTGAAGGGGATATAGGGTGGGGAGGTTAGGTTAGGTTAGGTTAGGTTAGATTAGGTTAGGTTAGGCTAGGTTAGGTTAGGTTAGGTTAGGTTAGGTTAGGTTAGTTAGGTTAGGTTAGGTTAGGTTAGGTTAGGTTAGGTTAGGTTAGCTTAGCTTAGCTTAGCTAAGCTTAGGTTCTGGTGTATTCTCAGGTTAGGTTAGAATAGGTTAGGTTAGGTTAGGTCAGGTTAGGTTAGGTCAGGTCAGGTCAGGTTAGCTGAGCTTAGATTAGCTTAGCTTAGGTTCTGGTCTATTCTCTGTTAGGTTAGGTTAGGTTAGGTTAGGTTAGGTTAGGTTAGGCTAGGTTAGGTTAGGTTAGGTTAGGTTAGGTTAGGTTACATTAGGCTAAGCTAGTTTAGGATACGTTCTGGACTGTTCTGGCCTGTGTGTTTCATAAATGTACCTAAACTCGATAAGAAACGATTTTGGTTGCTTTATTATTGTTTCCTTGGTCCCGTACATGGTTGATGGTTCTTGATAAGCAGAAATATTGTGCTTTCGCAACAACGCAGAAACAGCGCTTGGGAGTCGAGGCGGTGCGGTGCGGTGGTGCGGTGCGGTGGTGCGTGCCACGCTCGGGAGCTCGCTATCATATTTATTAAAATTCGAGGGTAGGTGCATGATTCTATCTGTTTTGAAATTATTTATATGTTCCGCCTTCAACACGACAAATGGTTTACCTTGGTCCCATACATTTTGTAGAGTTCTTGGTAAGCAGAAATATTGTATTTACACAACGGCAACGCAGAAACGGCACTGGGGAGTCCAGGCGGTGCGGTGTGCGCGGCGCTCGGGAGCCCGCAATCGAAGTTATTGAAATTCGAAGGTAGGAGCATGACTCTACCTGTCTTGAGATTATTTATTATATCTGCCGCCTTAAACACGACGAATGGTGTGCAATGACTTTTTCTAACATTAGGCAGGAAAGTACACCTACACCTTCAACTGACATTAAAAATGTCTACCTAACAGGTCCAACAAGTCTACAAAAATCCATCTGGTGCACCAGACCCAGAATGTCAGCATGCTGAGCCTCTCACATGAAGGCATCAAATTCATCAGTCAAAATAAGATGAATGTTCAAATGTTCCTAGCTGCGAAATAATTTGGAAACTTTGTGCCTGAAATACTTGCAAAACCACTACATTGACTCTGAATGTGCCAAACTCAATGGCGACCACACCATGAACTACTGAGTGCTCAGAAGCACAGCATGCAGGCACTTAGAACGCTCCCACAACGTCGCTGCTACGCTAGGCATGATTCGCGCAACGCGTATCTGTTGAGGCCCGACAATGCAGAGCATTAAAATCGACCACCAATCGCAGCGTGCAGCTTCAACACCAACGAACACCCAACAACATAGAAACTTATGAGCAAATAACGGAAAAAAGGAAAATGGTGTCATGCTTCCACGTACATGTGCTGTTCAAAGGTACCTTAACAGGGACTTAATCGACGGAAATACGCCTCCCCACTCATACGACCAGTCCCGCTCCCGCCTCGTGCGTCTGCGCCTAAGACACTTCCGGCGCATGCGGCACGCGCCAGAAATGTGCCAAGGAATTAAAATGCTGTCTTATTTGAATGTGCAGGTATTATAGCTTAGATTTAACATTTTATGCCCTTTTGTCTACAACCTTATGCTGAACAAAGCACACGAAAACAATATTTTAAGTGACAGAGAAAATAATTGAAAACGTGCATCACGCTGTATATCACATGACTACATTAGAGGTCACAATTTTTAACATTGCGCGCATGCCACTTAAATCTCGTTATCTCTTGCTCCTCGTTGTCGGAAGGTTGGGTTGGTTAAGGGTTGGGTTGGTAAAGGGTTGGGTTGGGCTAGCTTCCCCTCACCTAACAGCAAAATATTCCATCGTATTTTCCTCCTACATTAAAGGGTACATGATACACGGCTTGAGCATTCTTCACGTCATCCCTCGCTGCGTTTCTTAGCATGACAATATTTTGTCTTTTGTTAGCATGACAATATTTTCTTTATTTTGTTGGGACCGAGGCATGTAGAATCTTCAGTAGATTCCCTAAATTTTCTAAAGCTCTAAAGTATTGAGGCTCTAAGGCATTTTAGCTTAACAATTTTCACCATATCAATGGAACGAGCATGAAACAGACGAGTGATATCATTGCATTTGATTCGAAGAGAATATAGCAGCCTCAACAATATGATGAGTCGCCATTTGCGCCATTATTGTCATCATACCGGCTTCTGCGACTTGTCGATTTTCTGCGGTGTTCCACGAGCTTCGTCGGACGTCGTGGGGTCCTCGCGTCAATTATAGTGTTGTGGATTTTATAATTGCACTTGGGATTTTATCCCCAAAATATGCAAAAGTGAAACCATTTATAAATTTCAAGACGTTAGCATTCCAGCGAAGATTTTTGGAACACGAGTGAGGTGGCACAGCCGGTGTGAGTATCAGGAAGATCGTCCGCTGCGATATAAGAAAGAACGCCGTCTGTGTTGAGATGGAAGGCTGGCGAAACACTACCTGAAGGATCCCTCGTGAGCTACGTTCAAGAGTAGAGTCTTAGTTTTGCAATTTGAGCTTGGGGGTTAACTGTGGAAAGTTATCAAATGTACCTCAAAATTCGCCAGCAAATGGGTTTCACTAGATTTCGCCCCTCTGTCTCAGTGTGTGTGTGGGGGGGGGGGGGGGGGCAGTACCTGAAATTCGGTTTTGGCTCTTGGGGGAGAAGATGAAAATTCTGAAATTATGGCTTGCAGTGAGAGCTAAATAAGGTGTAGGTACATATTGGTGCCTACTGTGAGCAAGTTAAGTCCCATGTTAAGATGACCTGTGTTACCATTATAACAATATGTTCTGCCTTAAAAACTACAATTGATGTACAATGGTCGGTCAGGGTGTACTTTCCTACCTCATGTTACAAAAGAGCATTGTACATCAATTGTAGTTTTTAAGGCAGAACATGTCATAATTAATCATAAAACGGGTTATTTATACTCGTACCTTGGAACTTAACTAATAATGATGCCGAACATCGGACCGCTACAAACACATAGCAGCTGCGACACTGGCGCCATTACTGTGTACGGTCACAACATTACTGCGCATCAAGCAGGAACCACATCTTGTAGTCAGAACAAAATAACCCAGGTGAATTTGCACTGCATTTGCGGCTGGCACTAAAGCACTTTCTTTGGCAGCAGATGATACTAAACACCATGCTCTAGCTGTTTTCAGTGATTGGCAAAGACCCTTGGAGATTGGCTGCTTGCAGGTAGTCAATTTTCTGGCTTCCTCAGGGCGTGCCTCCTTCCTAAGTCCATGCTCACACCTACTGTATTTTTTAAAGTTATGGAGCTGGTAGAAAGTTGTTGGTATTGGTAAGTCTATTGTAAAGGTGTCAGTCCAAATTAAGGCAGATAGAAGCAGATGCTTAAGATGTTGTGCAGCTGCTGCACCATTCCCCAGAGCACATTATGACAAGTTTATGATTAAAATGTCATGCAAGCCACAATATAAATAGGAGCATCTGGGGCATGGTAGTGCAGCTACATAGTGCAGCTACATTCTAGCCAAGGCACAATCTTTCTCACCCAAGGGAAAGATCCTGGGGCAATGTGATACCCACCCAGGCTTTTACTGATGTAGATATACTTAGTGTGAGATCAGTTGTGTAGTTTCCAATTTAGTTGGATGGGATGCTAGGCCCTCCCCAACTTTGAGAAAAATATTGGTCAAAATGAGGGAGAACATGGTTGGCACCATTTCTTTGGGTTAAAAGATTTTTCTGCTCACCAGCTCCACAAAGTTAGGTACAAAACTACACCACCTGGGATGTCAGGTTGCTGAGTGGTTGGGGCTCAGAGGCCACTGCAGCAGTAGTGAAGGAATCATTTCCTCCTCACAGAGCAATCCAGCCACACAAAGTTAGCGTCGCTACATCTACTCACTAGCGTTAAGTCTGATACAATATATTTCTCAGTGTATGATGCTGAGCTAAGTTTATATATTGCCTTTATATGTTGTACCCACCAGTCATGTGATCACCACTCCCTGGGTGGCTCATCCAAGAAAGGTGGATAGGCTACATAAATGATGTGCACACAAAAGCAGCCTTCAGGGATGGAGTTGCTCTTAGTTATTCATTGGTTTTGATATTGTCTTTCAGGACCTTAATGATTGTGTAAAAAATATTCATTGGCAAAACCCAGCTCAAATAGAAGGTAGATCTTAAAAATGTAAATAATTATATAAACAAGAATACAAGTTCTGCTCAACAAAGAACAGGACACTCTGTTTTAGTGTCAAACTCAGATCATGATGCCATGGCAACACCCTGTAGATCAATAGAAAAAATGAAATGCTTTTGATCGATGCCCCTTTTATGTATTGTCATCACATATTCATCTCTCATTACTTGGCAGTGAATATGCCTTCTCTCCAATGCTAAATCCTCCCCCAGAGCCAGAGACTCGCGGAGCCATGGTTTCGCGCGGGCCCAAGGGAGTGTTTGGGATGGTGTATGACATCTCCATTATACCTTCCACACAATGTCTATTTTTGATAGTTTCAAATGCAACTTTAATGATAGTGTTATTTAAAAAGAATTTGAAATAATTTTTATCAATATATGATTGATTTGTGCTATGTTTACAGGTACATATTTGTGTGGCGTGATATGCTTTCCTATCAATTTGTATCGTTTTACAATGGTTTCTACCTACAATCCAGAAACATTGAATCATGACATGTACAAGATGTTCTCTGCGCTTCTCCCTGGCCCGTCAAGAGAAGCTGTTGTTTTAAGTGTGGGTCCGGGGCCCGGTGTCTGAGCTTCGGTATCGTTGTTGGATGGTGGGTGGGTTAAACGTATGCTAGTGAGCAGCAACGGACCTGGGCACCGAGTGCGTTACAAGGAAAGATCGTGTGTGATATGGTAGAGATTTGGCTGCAACCCACAAGCCATCTCCCTCGTTTAGTCGTGAATATGGCACGCGACGCTGTCGATGTGTTAGGAACAGCTGGCCTTCACCTGACGTCGCTCACACGTCGCAGAGAACAATTTGTTCATTCTTTCTGGTGTGTGATTGTGGAAAACAAAATGTCTTGAGGCTAAAACACCAAGAAGCACCCAAGTTTTGGACACTATGAGTCCCATTTAGGGCTGATAGATCCCAATGTTTGAAACTGTGTGCACCTGTTGAACAATTGTGCATTGCGTGACAAATCTATCATTGAAATGCCATGCAAGTCACAATAACATAAATAGGGGCATCTGGGACATAGTAGGTAATGCAGCGACGTTCTAGCCAAGGTACGACCTTTTTCATTTAAGGGAACGATTCTGGAGCAATGTGATACCTGCCCAGGCCTTTACTGACCTAGGTACACTTAATTTGGAACCAGGGATGTAGTGTCCTACTTAGCAGAGTGGGATGCCCCTCCCCCTACTTTGAGAAGAAACTCGGTCAGAATCAGGCAGAGCGTGGTTGGCGCCATTTACTTGGGATTAAACAGTTCCCTGCTCACCAGGATTGTTTTCTGCTCACCAGCTCCACGAAGTTATGCACAAAACTACTCTATCTGGAACATCAGGCCGCTTGTGATCCGGGCTCATGGGTCAATGTGGAAGGGGCCAGGGAATTGTTTCCTTATTGAGCAAGTCAGCATGCAAAGTCGGCATCGCTACATCTACTCACCGACGTTGAGTCTGAGACAATACTTTTCTGAGTGTGTGACTTTGAGGTGAATTTATATATTGCCTTTATCCATATTATCAACCAATTGTGCTATCACTGCTCACCATAGCTCTGCATGCTGCTCCTTCAAAGGACGTTGAAAGGCTATAGAAATGGCTTGGAGCACACTGAACAGCAGTCTTTAATGACAGAGTGCTGCAAGTTTTTATCAGGCCTGACATTGCCTTTTTTGGAACCTTAATGATTTCGTAAAAGTTATGTATCGGCAAAAAACAGCCGAAATACGATGCAGATCTCAAAAACATAAATGATTAGTTAGATGTAAAACCAAAAGTTCTGCTCAATGTAGAACAAGAAACCCTGCTTTAGCTTTATGCACAGATTATAATTCTGTGGCGACGTAGAGCGATAACAAATTCCATGTTTTTTAGTGCCTCTTTTATATATTTTCATCACACATTCAGCTCGGATTTCGTGGTGGAGAATGTGCTTTCTCTCCAATGCTAAATCCTCCACAAGAGCTGGAGACCCTCGCAGCCGAGTCTCCGTGGATTTTCTCGTACCCAAGAGAGCGCTTGGGATGGCATTTCACGCCACCATTGTACTTTCTATACAGCCTCCATTTTTGATAGCTTCAAATGCATATTTGATAAGGATGCTGTTTAAAAGTGATCAAAAATATTTTTCACTAGGTTATGATCAATTCACGCTACATTTAGGGCTGCATGGTAGTGTGAGATCATGTACTTTCGTTTTTTCGCGAGCAGTCCAGAAACGTTGAATCGTGACGAATGCGAGATATTTTCTGTTCTCTCGCTTCTACCTGGCTCGCCAAGAGACGTTGTTCTGAGTGCGGGCTCGGGCCCGGCGTCTGAGCGCGTCGGTGTCGTTGGTGAGCTGTAGGTGGGTTTAACGTGTGCTGGTGAGCAGCAGTGGAGCTGGGCACTGAGTGCATTGGAAGGAAAGATTGTGTATGATATGGTAGAAAGATTCGGCTGAAACCCGCAAGCAGTATCCCTCGTTTAGGCGTGTGGCTGTCACGCGATGTTGTCGAGGTTTCACGAACAGCTTGCCTTCATCTCATAATCCTCACAGAGAACAGTTTTTTATATTATTGCCAGCATATATTCGTGGAGAACAAAATATATTGGGGATAAAATACCAAGAAACACCAACGTTTCGTACAATGGGGGGGGGGGGGGAGGGGGGCTGGAGCCCAAGTTGGAATGTAAACATGGTTGGCAAAACTGCTCTGAAAGCATTTTTCGTGGAAAATATGTGAAAATGCGACATAATCAGACCTGGCCCAAGTTTTGTATACATAAATTGGAGGTTCATCACACCAAAATTCCTTAGGCATCTGGCGCAACATGTATCTTTTTGGAATATGGAAAAATTGTATGGAGAAGCCATTTTGCTTGTGTATTTTGGTAAAAGCACTAGCCATTTTCCCTTCTCAGCCTGACCACCTCATCTTCATTTTCGTGATACTAAGCCTCATAGGCCTCAAATGTCTCTCAAGGGCCCCTTGCATTGATAGTGATCCCAAAGTGTCCCTTTCCATTGTTTGGGGCTCCTAAGGGATCCCTGCATCAGCTAGGGTCACACAGTGCCTAACAAAAAATGCCATGTTAGCAAGGGGCCCCAAGTTGGCTGGGTCCTATTTGTTGAATATTGAGTTTAATGAACCCTTACTGTCATCAGTCCCTTTAATGGGTCAAACACATTAATGAAGCAATGAATGGTGATTCAGAAAAAAAAACAATGGAAGGATCCAAATGACACAATGGGAGACCCTATATCAGTCAGGGGACCCAATGCCAGGCATGGGACCAATGTCCTTATTTTGATGTGGCCTGGTAAGCCAGACTGTTGTACTAAACTGGTTCCAATTTTTGAACCTCTGTGTCAGTAAGGGATGCTCTTGTGTTTGTGAGGGTCTGCATCGATACAGGCCAACTCCTGGCATTGTGCCAACTTGTCTTGTAAGAAGTTGTCCAGTATTAGGGAAGGGGCTGGTATCTGATGGATCCCTCTTAATACCTCAGTATCAACTGAATCAGGGCGAATCCACAAGGGCTGCAGTCGTGGTTTGTCCCAAAATGACGCCAGAAACATTGTGCTGTTTTTGTGTATTATATTTGCAGTTGTCACTTATTTGGAATTTCCCAAACGTGTTTTGGTCCTTCTGAATGTCCATTATTGGATCTGTTCCTGATACACATGCAACAACTCTGGGCCATTATATGAACTTATTTTGGCCTCCCTTTCTAGCTGCATATATCATTGAATTGTATCACATTTGTCCATATTTTTACCATTCTTCATGAGTGACTGGTGTGATGCTTTTCATTTTCACAAGATTGTTCAATGTAAAGCAATTGTCAATTTGTCATGTTTGTGAAAACCTCAATTTTTCAGGTACAAAACAATGCATGGACTATCACTGCATCTGCTTTGCCTGCTCCTGGTTGTGGGGAGTGTGTGGCCGCAGTCAGTGGAAGAAGTAGATGACGATGTTACTGTTGAAACAGAGGTGAGGTTCCATTCACTCGACTCACAATATCATGGTCCTATTTATTTGCTTTGATTTTGTATATTTTTATGGAGTCTTAGCAGTTTGTGATTGATATCTGAAGACAGCTCGTGCATCAAGAAGAAATGTGTGCTGGTTAGGCTAGTGATTTATGTATTTGAAGTAGTGTACATCAGAAATTAGCATATCAGGAACTATTCAAGGCCAGCATTTTTTGTTTGTTATGCTAAAATAACCTTAATGTCAACATCTGCAAATTATTGTAGGAAATACTCACCTTTTAGCCCCCCCCCCCCCCCCTGTCTCTATTTGGTGTCTTAGCAGTTAGTGTATGATAGGTGCGATTATGTGTCCTTCATTGTAACACAAATATGTCCCACCTGCGCTACAGGACGAGGAACCAGCACAGAAAGTCCCATACGCTTCTCCTATCGTGCCTCGTGATGCTTATTTTACGGAGCACTTTGACGACCCTGCGGCATTCGAGAAGCGCTGGGTCCACTCCAAGGCCAAGAAGGATGGCACAGACGAGGAGATCGCCAAATATGACGGTACGTTCAGGGGAGCTGTGGTATTTCGGACGGCAAAATGAAGCGTGAATGCGCTGCTCCGCAGCAAAGAGACGTCGCATTAGCGCGGTCGTTCCCTGTCCTAATTCGGTGAATGGCGCGCGTTGAATACTGTTACCGATCAGCCCGTTCCGGCCCGTCGTCCATTTGACGGCTTTGCATTGCCATATGTCACCCAGGTAATGCTGCAAGAGTTATGCTGCACATTTTCGATAAGGAAAAGGTTTTTTAGGAGTGCGAGTATGCTTGTTTGAAAGCAAGTATGCTTAATTGAAGGTGAGTATGTATAACTCATTTAAAGGCAGCGCCGGCCCAGCTCCTCGCTTTGTGTGTGTGTGTGTGTGTGTGTGTGTGTGTGTGTGTGTGTGTGTGTGTGTGTGTGTGTGCGTGCGTGCGTGCGTGCGTGCGTGCGTGCGTGCGTGCGTGCGTGCGTGCGTGCGTGCGTGCGTGCGTGCGTGCGTGCGTGTCCCTGGGCCTGTGTCCGTCGCACACGGCAGGCGATCGCCAGCGGCGGGGCCCCGCCCCCACATCGCTTCGCCGTCCTAACCCCACCCGTGTGTGGCGTCCCAGCCGTGTGTCCCCCGCAGGCGTCGCTCAGACCATGCCTCGCTTCTGCCGCCCGCAGGCGAGTGGGCGATCGAGCCACTGCAGCAGTACGCGCTGGAGGGCGACCGCGGCATGGTGCTCAAGTCGCGCGCCAAGCACGCGGCCATCAGCAGTCGGCTCAGCAAGCCGTTCCACTTCATCAGCAAGCCGCTGGTGGTGCAGTACGAGGTGAGCAGGCGGCGCTGAGCATGGTTCTTCGACCTGCCGCATCGTTCAGCCCGACTGACGTTCAAAGGCCGCCTGTTAACTGGTTAGAAGGGGTTCAAGCTAGCACGGGGTGGCTGTGTTGTAGTATCATACCGTACGTAAAATGTTTCCTCTCGGGGAGGGGGAAGACTCGGAGGCAAAACTCAGATGAACTACAAGGGCATGACGTGGGTGCCCGGTTCTGGATACCGCGAACAAGCTGTGCTCTCCATGCGCTCGGAACCATGCAAATCGTCTGGAAATAAACCGTTCGATTAGCTTTTAAAGCATGATGCTTCTCTGAAAACGCAGCTTGAAATGTTCCGTCCGATGTTGACTTAGTTTTTTGGTCGCGTTCCGCACGTCTTAAGTCTCGTCGTATGAAGATGTGGGTGCGCCGTAACCCAGGAGGATATGGCTGCACCCAGGTGGTGCACGTCTGCCTCCTGGTGTGCACTTGACTCCTCTCGAGCGGGAGGCCGACGGAGCTTCGTCTGCGTCCAGGTGAACCTGCAGAACGGCCAGGAGTGCGGTGGCGCCTACCTGAAGCTGCTGTCCGACTCGCCCGACCTGGACCCGGCCGCCTTCCGCGACAAGACCCCCTACACCATCATGTTCGGCCCAGACAAGTGCGGCAACGATCACAAGGTGGGCAGCGCTGGAGCGGACGGAGCGTGCGGGCTGTTGTGCGGGGCTCGGTTATAAGCAGTTGTGGGCTTGGCGTTTGGCTGCCATGCGAATGTCACTGTTCCAGTAGATGATTGGGGCGGTGGAATTAAGATAGTACTGTGCTGCACAATATCTGCCTGGAATGTTAAAGTGCTTTCAAAACACTATTTTGCTGTGGGCTCTTAGAACCTTGGCAATGCTGAGTTATTCCACACCTGCACTGCACAAGAGGAAAATGCTGAACTACTTATGCGTTGGCACGGTTTGCGTGTTCCGGAGCGGGGTCATTGTTTGACCTGAGCAGCATGTTGAGTGGGAAGTGAGTTGGCCACAGAGCCTCATCTCGGCCCAGAGTTGCTCTGTCGTGGCTCTGTGCAACGTGTAGAACCCTCCATGGCATTCCTGCCTGACAAAAGGGCAGGATTTTACAAGTACCCACAACAGTGCTGTCCTGAGCTACCGCGGCGCTGACGGCTTTTGTGTGCCGTCCTATCCCGTCAGCAGGCTGGCAAAGGTACCCGAAATCGCCCCAAGCTACACAGCACGGGCGTGCGTCGGTACCGCACGGCCGGCGCCGATCTGCCGCCTGACTGTGCGGCCGCCGTTTCAGCTGCACTTCATCTTCCGGCACCGCAACCCGGTCACGGGCGAGTACGAGGAGAAGCACGCCAAGCGGGCCACCAGCCAGATCGACACGGCCTTTTCCGACAAGGCGACGCACCTGTACCGGTTGGTGGTGCGGCCCGACAACTCGTTCGAGATCTACATGGACGACAAGGTTGGGCTGTCGGCGGTACGGCGGTGCTGTATCGCTGTCGCAGGTCGCGGACAGGTGGGAGGGAAACGCCCGTAACGCAGGTGGGAATACAAACTGACCGTTCGCTCACCCCACCGTGGCCTGCCACACGACGGCCACTGGGTGAGGCGGATTTGACGCGGTGAGATGTGCGCCGTCGCAAGGCTGGTGTTTTGATGTGGCGCGGCGGAGAGGGCCGGCCGGCCGGGCGCTGACGCTGGCCGGTCCGTGGTCGGACGTGATGCCGACCCGGCCTCCGCTGCGACGACGGGCCCGCGCCGCAGGAGGCGCCCACGCGTGAACGTCGAGCCTTCGATCGGACGGTGCCGTGGACAGGGGAGGGGCGGGGTCGCGCCGCCGGCGTTCGATTAAAGCCGCCCCCGGATTGGCGGAGACTGTTCGACGCCGCCTCTCTTATCTGACCCGAAGCTGGGCGGCCTCTCGAGCGTGGCGCGGCGCGCTCACTGCGGCCACCATCCCATCGGCTGTGGGCCGGGCGCGTATGCGTCCGGGGAGAGGGGATGGGAGGCGAAGCCGAGCCGGAGCCAGAGCCCCCCTCGTGCCGTGACGGATCTGGCCGTTCGGAGCGTGCTGCCCATTTCATCAGCGATAATCCTGGCGCGTGCGTGGGCCGGCTGGCGGGGGCCGCCGCTGCGGGCGGCGCGCGGGCGCCTCTTGACACAGCTGGGTGGCGTCCGTGTTTGTTCGACAGTCTGGCACCCAGCTGGGCGGCGTCGAGCATAGCGAGATCTCGCCGCTGGTGGTTGCCGTTCACGAACGGTCGCTTGTGCGGCGTCTGATGCGTGCACGGTCGCCTTTTGAAGTTCGGCACGAAACGGGCGGGTTTGTTGGCCGTTGTGTGATGCGTAAAGCTGTTGCCTTTGCATTGTAAAAGATTGGTGCCGGCAGACTGGAAATATAAGCAGTGTGTGGTCTTTAAGCCGTGAGCTGACAAAGCATCCTGATAACGCATCCTTGCATATCTATGTCGGCCATCTGCCTTGGTTTTTGCCTACATGTCTTTCCATTTTTCCATATACGGGCGCAAAATGATCATAGAAATGAACGCGCTCTAAAGCCTCAAAACAACAGTCAGAGTGATCTTGATGTTTCCGCCCCCCCCCCCCCCCCCCATTGCGGCATTCCTTTACCTGATGTCTTATTGCTTTTCGCTGTCTTTCTCCCCCAAGCCCACGTGGCCCTGAGTCTGTCCGTCGTTCTCCGCGTGACCGAGCTCGGTTGGCGCGGACTAAGGTGCAGCTGACACGGACTACGGCCGACCCCAGATACCGGGCCCCTTGTGTGACCTGACCCGGCTGTCGCCGCGCTGCAGGTGGTCAACAGCGGCAGCCTGCTGGAGGACATGACGCCGCCGGTCAACCCACCCAAGATGATCGACGATCCGTCCGACAGCAAGCCCGCCAGTTGGGACGAGCGCGAGAAGGTCCCCGACCCGGACGCCACCGTCAGTACCGCTCCGCGCTCCCGCCGGCTGCGGACTGGGCGGGCGCGCCCGGGGCCCGTCATAGCCCGGGCCGCGAAGCAACGGGCCACGTGGTGTGGACTGGCGGGTGGTAGAGCGACGGCCACGGTGTGATTATAGTAATGTGCATTTATGCTGGAGCGGTCTGGGAGCTTCATGTGCGACATTTGTTTGGGGCCGTATTGGCTGCGTTCTCGCGAGTTTACTGGACTCTGGCCAGATGGGCGACCTTACTGGACACCCTGATGGTGACGCGGGAGGTGGCTGGGAGTCGGCGCCACCTGTCGTGCGCGACGCACCGCCGCTGACTGTCCTGTCGAGCGACGTGCCTTCGGCTTCCCTCGGGGTACATTAGCGGCTCTCCTGTCCTGAGAAGCGAGAGCCGAGTCACGGTGATTGACCGCCAGCCCGGCGGCGACGCGGTTTTGCGGGAGCCGTAAGCGCGGGAGCCCTGCTCGGCGTGGTCATCAGTCGCTGAGCCGCAGAACAGCACGGCTTTCAGCTCGGCCGCCGACTTGTACGGTGCTCGCCTCCGGGCGCGCTGCCACGGTAATTTGTCACCGCGCTGCGACCGATGGTGGGTTGGCCGCGACTGGACGCCAGCCGCTCTGTCGGTCTGGGGCCTGACCCGTGTGCCGATCCGCCAGTGGCCTGTGTTCGCACCCATCCCGTGGTCTCCGCCCCGGTCCTCCCTGGGTCTATATGGTGATCCTTCCGCCGGTCTGGTCGTGATCCTCTCCTATGGCCCTTGTTCTGACCATGTCCCACACTCATCTCTACCCAGGCCCCTGGTTTGTCTCCTGACCTGTGCTCAGCCGCCTCTGCGCCTATCTCCCGGCCTGTCTCGGGTCCGTCTCCTGACTCGGCCCCGCCCTCGGCTGCTAGCGACGCCCGCCAGTGGAAGGCTCCGTTCCGCCTCCGCCTGCGCCGTGCCTGACCGTACCGGCGCTCCGCAGAAGCCGGACGACTGGGACGAGGAGGCGCCGGCCAAGATCGTCGACCAGGACGCGGTGCGACCCGACGGCTGGCTGGAGGACGAGCCCGAGATGGTGCCCGACCCCGACGCCGAGAAGCCGGCAGACTGGTCAGTGGAGCGCCGGCGGACCGCGCGGTGGTGCTGTGGAAGGAGAGCGGAGCTGGCGTCGGGCCGGGCTGGCGCGGAGCTCGCGTCGGATGGGGAGCCGGCGGTAGGAGGGGGTCGTGCTGGGGGGAGCTGTGCTGGGGCCGGAGTGAAGAGGAGGGAACACACGCCTGGGTCGCGTTTGGGCGGTGTCGGTAGGAAAGTTTGTGGCTTGTAGGGTTGTGACATTCCGATAAGGTGCCCGCGAGGATTGTTCGAAGAGCAGATCTACAGAATGAACGTCACGGCTTCTAAATGAAATATCGAAACGCTCGGATCAAGTCACTTATCCTCATCGTATTGATCGATGCTCTGACACTGATTAAGACCAGGGCCCCGGGCGTGGCCTTTGCAGCACTGACTACGCTGTTCGTTGGGGCCCGCGCCAACGGCCCCAGCCTGTGTTCAAACGTCCCGATCGCTGGGGGAGGGGTCGGCCGACGGCGCTGCATGCGGTGCGTCGGAGCTGTGGGCTGTGAGCGTGACGGCAGTGCCACTGTGTCGAGGTTAGCCGCTCGCTCGGTCTTGGCCCGCCTGGGGCGCGTGTTCCACGCCGTGCTCCCGGCGAATGGGCGGGAGGAGGAGAGCTGAAGGGAGAGCGGGACGCCTCTGCACCGCCTCCTTCGTTATGTGAGACGCGGCTCGGCAGTGGCCGTCCCGAGGCTGTGGCCGTGGCGTGTCTCGGCTGCGGCTGGTGCGTGCCGATTGGGCCGGCGGTCGCGGCTGCGGCGTGCTGACTGCAGCTGGCCGCCGGTTTGTCGGACGCTCGGGTGCCGTGTCTTGACGTGGCCGGCCTCGGACGGGTGCCGAGGTCGATCGGTCGATGGCCGATGCTGGCCGTTGACGCGGCGGTGCACACCGTCAGCTGCGCGTGACACCTCAGACGGGCCGGGCCTCACAGGCTGCTCCAGCTCCCTTCGGCTGACCTGGCAGGAGGCAGGCGGCCATTGTGCTGGGTGCTGTGCACCAAACGGGGCACCACTAGTGTTTGTCTCAGCCCACTGGCCTGGTGGCACTGAGTGGTCGCTGTTACACTGAGCCTCGCAATGACTTGATCCGTCCGCGACGTACTCCCGAGCCCACTTTTACTGACCTCATCGTGACCTGACCTAAGCGTCACCCGATCAGGTTCCGCATCTGACCCCATCATGGTCGAATCCCACTTGAACGCCAAATGACCACTGCTGTCGGCGCGCCCGAAAACCCCAATCAACAGCCCAGTGTGGCCTGACCTTGAGATGCCCCCATCCCTTGTCTGGTGCCGCCGTGACCTGTTCCCAATGTGGCACAACCAGTCCGGCGCGTGATCCCACCATGACCCGGCCGCACCGTGACCTGGCCGTGCCGCACCATAACCTGACCGCACCGCACCACGACCTGGCCGCACCGTGACCCGGCCGCAACGTGACCTAGCCGCACCTTGACCCGGCTGCACCGTGACCTAGTCGCACTGTGACCCGTCTGCACCGTGACCTAGCCGCACCGTGACCCGGCATCGCCCCTCGCCTGACCCCGTCGGGACCCGGTAGGGACACGGAGATGGACGGCGAGTGGGAGGCGCCGCTGATCAGCAACCCAAGCTGCGCCGACGCGCCCGGCTGCGGCCCCTGGAGCGCGCCCACCATCGATAACCCGGCCTACAAGGGCAAGTGGCGCGCGCCCATGATCGACAACCCGGCCTACAAGGGCAAGTGGGCGCCGCGTCGGATCGAGAACCCACACTACTTCGAGGACACCGAGCCCTTCAAAATGACCTCGATCGTGAGTGACGGGGCCCTTCTGGGTGGCTGGCGTTGTGGCGGCTGTTGTGATACCAAGAGTGACGGGGTGTGCATCACGTGGCTCGCCGCCGCTGGAGGCCTCTCGCCACACGAGATGGCCTGGAGTGTGGCCAGCTCGAGGACGTCCTCGTGTGTGGAGCCCGTAGCCGGATTATGACATTGTAGGACCAGTCGGTAGCCCGGGTCTTCCTTGTCCCGAAACAACCTGGTGGACCACATTGATGTCGCACGCCACGAAAAAAACGTAAAATGTGATTCTCTTCGTGTGGTTGATTTGGGGACAGCGCACCACACAACATCCACACTTGAGCGGTCTCAGAGGTGCATAGCGAACGGTGCGGTCAGCACCACACAATAATGTATTTTCTGCAGCAGAAAATTACTGTAAGTTGTCTGTAGCTGAAGATGAAATTGACGTCATATCGGGTCGGAACAAAATATGGCTAGGTCATCCTATGACAATGACCGTGCACTCTATCCGATGACGTGTATTGATAGAACCACGGGATTTTACGCCATCTGCGTGCTTACAACACATTGCAGTGTGTGATGAACAAGGTGCGGGCACGCCAGGTCAGCGTCCAGGCCTCCTTCAAGCCTCAATAACTGACTGACTAAAGCGAGGAGCGTTACAAGCGATGACCATTTGTTATGACATGGTGACGTGGCTGCTGTCCCGGCTTCAGTACCAGCTATCAAGGCAAACCTTTGCTGCCTGTATTGATAAAGCCGCAGACAGTGACGTAAAATTTCAGCTGCAACGAGAGTGCGTCCACATTTGTATAGGCTGTTACTGACGGCTTCATATTTTATAACGCACCTCGTCGTGAACGTGTTTGTTGTCAGCAGTGATGAGGCAAAATCAGACGATCATGTGACAGGTGTGCGAAGCTTGGTTGTGATCAGGTGGCTCGTTCGCAAAGCTTGAACTATAATTACAGGATGTTGTCAATTCAGCCCCACCCTAGACTGCCGTGGGTTAAAGGAATTTGCCTCAAATATGGATGGCACGATGTTTCACTGTGCCCAAATGACCAACAGAGTGTCGGTGCTGTTTTTGTTTCGGAATATTTTGTGCTGGAGTGATTCAGCTGGCCCAGTTTTTGTAGTTATGTCCGTAATCTGAGGTCGTTGCGCGCTGATGTCCAATGCAGTTTCTGAGCCCTGTGAAATCCTCTACCCTCTGCCATATTTCTGTTGCGGATAGGCGGCTATGTGATGTTATATTTCCAAGCAGCGGCCGTCTAACTAGAGGCAGCACTCCCGCAGTCTTCCCGGCCGCCTCGCAGCACATCATGAGATAATGGCCACACTCGCTGATCTCGCCGCGGCCGTTGGCCGATGGCTGGTCCCACGGGTCGGTTCATGCGGCGTCTCCCTCGCCGATGGCGAGCTGACCCTTCGCCCTGCTCCCCGTCCCCAGGGCGCTGTGGGCGTCGAGCTGTGGTCCATGTCGGACAACATCTACTTCGACAACGTCCTCATCACCGACTCGCTGGTGGACGCGCAGCAGTTCATGGAGGAGACGTTCCACCTCAAGTCCAAAAAGCGATACAGCAAGGAGGTGAGCCGCGCAGGGGCGGCCGGCGAGGCATCGTTCCTGGCGCAGGGAGCCGGTCGGACCGGGCGGCGGCGACCCGCGGGCTGGCCTCAGCTGAGCTGACCACCCCTGGGCTGGCCTCAGCTGATGCTGACATCCCCGGAGTGACTGGCAGTACGTCGCCCTGGCACGGGTGGCTCATTACGTCCCCGCGCCACGCGGGGCGCGCGAGCGTGTTTTGTTTGAAGCGCGGAGGTGTGCCAACCACTGTTGTGGTGCGTAAAGCGTTGGCGTGGTGTGTAAAGCGCCAGGCACATGTGCTCTCCATGGCCAAATGTGGCAAAAGAGCTTCCGTCCCATGGGTGGTATGGACCCCGGCGGCCATGATCACCAGCCGGTGTTGTTGCACGTTGCTGAGCGGCGGTGTGACCTCGGGGCGCACACGTGTGACCAGCACTGGCATGCGATCGGCCGATCGCGCGCGCCGTCCGCGCGGCCAGAGCCGCCGCGGCTGGCGGCGGCCCCGGTCCGGCCGGCTCTGGCCGAGTCGCCGGGCGGCCGGGCTTGCTGATCGATGGGAGCCGTGCTGCGGCCAGACGCCGGCCGCTCGGCTGCAGGTGCCGCCGCCGCCGCTGCCAGGCGTGTCGGTTGCAGCGGCGCCGCCGCCGCCCGACTGGGAGTGGCCGCGCCGGCGCTGCCACCGACAGGGGCGGCTCTGGGGACGGGTTGGCGTCCCGTGTCGGAGGGTCGCGGGGTTTTTAGGGAGCGTGGCGAGGTGGTTTTACGTGCGTGGCGGCGGGTCCGCAGGACAACGCGTTGGGTAGCGCGGCGGCGCCGGCGTTAATCGCTCCTGCCTTGACCGGCCCAGGGAAACACGGCAACAATGGTAATGGCGGGGCACATTGTTTCGGGTGTGTAATCAGTGGACCAGACACCAGCAAACATACTCACCAGTCACGGAATCGCACTGCGCGCCCGTTGTAAGATTTGCGCACAACTGGGTGTTGTGTCCGTGGAACTTGAGGAGTGTATGGCGGCGGGGGCGGGGGCGGGGGCGAGGGGAGGAGGGCCGTGAAGTGCGCGGTAGCCGGGGCGTGGTGCCCGGCCCCGGCTGGCACGAGCCGCAGCGGTCGACTCAGCGCACCGCGGCACTAACGGCTCTCGCGCACGGAAGCTTAACTGCGGCATCGTTTCCGGTGGCACCAGCTTCGATGGCCGCCCGAGCGTTCGGTGGAATCGAACCAGGGTCAACGCCGTTTGTTTGTGGCACATTTGCAGTTTTTGTCTGTAGCGTTACATTTATGATTTGAGTCGACATCACGTGTCAGATTATTGGATCAATAGCTGCGCTGAATGGACGGATGGCGTGCCGTGAACCTGTTATCGGAAACCCACATGGTCCAGATTTAGCTTTCCGTGGTCGTCGAAACATGGACAAAAAGTTAACTGCTCCACACACACATAGGCACCCCATACACACAGGCACGCCCACACCCCATACACACAGGCACGCCCCACCCCCCCCCCCCCACACACACCCACGCACGCACGCACGCACGCACGCACGCAGCATAAATATATAGCTTTATATGTATATATATATATATATATATATATATATATATATATATATACAGCTATATACATATTCATATGTTTGACAAAGTGTGCGTGCGTGTGTGTGTGTGACGGACGCTGTACCATATTTGTGTGCTGTAATCTCCGCTCGTTATGCCGGGAGCATCCAGTCGTAAGTGGTACCCCGTCCCCGGTTCCTTCCGTGTCGTCAACGGCTACGGCGTCGTCGTCTGTTCAGTGTAATGGGGATGGCGTGACTGGGGCGATCCTTCGGCGGCTAACGGCTTCCACATGACGGGCCTGCTGCGTTTGTCAGACGGTTCGACGTTGTGCACCACGACGCCAGCGAACGCCATCCATTTAAATGGCCTGTCTGTCCGAAATGCGGGCAGCGGATGGGTAGGGGTCATTCAGGGGCATCGTCTCTCCGCATCCCCACCGCGCGTCACGTCTTGTTTTTTAGCCGGCCTACGTGGGAACCGGCTGCCCGAGAAGCGCCGTACTCCCCATTACACTGTTGCCGTTCGCGTCAGTCTGGCTTCTACTTCGTGCCGGCGGAATGGCTCACAGTGCGGGCGACGCGGGCCGAGGCCCCGCCTGACTCCAACCCGACCCGACCTCGGCCTCGACCCGGTCTGATGGCTGACCGTGTGCCGTTCGGCCGCAGGCGGGCCTCTTCGACCGCTTCCTCAAGTACAGCAACGAGCGCCCGTGGCTGTACGCTGTGTATGTGATCGCCATCGGACTGCCTCTGGTGCTGGTGCTCTTCTTCTGCTGCTCCGGGTCGGCCAAGGTGAGCGCCGACAACGCTTCCTGACGTACCGGCCGCGGACACGGGCGGACGCCAGCCTCGGACACGGGCAGGCACGGGCGAACACCAGCCTCGGACACGGGCGGACATGGGCGAACGCCGGCCTCGGACACGGGTAGACACGGGCGAACTCCGGCCTCGGACACGGGTAGACACGGGCGGACACGGGCGAACGCCGGGTTTGGACACGAGCAGACACGGCGAACGCCAGCTTTAGACACGGATGGTGTGCTGTAGTTGAGCTTATGCACGTTGCATATTATCACCCGTTTATCATTTGGAGAAATTAAATGTATCAGATTCGACATGCACGGTTGAAAACAGCAACAGTTCGTTCCAGAAATGGTTGGCACTCGAGACAAGGTTATCCTCGCCGGTAGCCCAGCTGGTTAGAGCACCTGTCTTCCGATTTACTCACCCGGGCCGGGTTGAGTTCGTGTCGCTTTGGGCTCCGGGCCGGGTTGAGTTCGTGTCGCTTTGGGCTCTCGCTGTTTGTCCCCTCAGGTGACGTCAGAGGGCAAAGCGGATCGTGCGAAGCATTGCGGCACGTTAAGCTGTTGCCGCAAAATTTTGCCGTTGACCTCGAATTTGACCATCGTGTGGTGGTTTCAGGGCCCATGCAATAACCGCTGCCTGACGTGGGCATGATCTTGAGAATTCATGCATTCAGAAGGTCCCGACTGAATGCAAACAAGCATCTTAAACCTTGAGCAAATGACGCACCTTTTGGACAGTTGTTAAGTGGTTGGTCGACGCGTGCAGCTAAACTGAGGCCATGAACATCGCAATGTCCGTGGTTTGAACCGCCAGTTAAAGTACTCAGTTTCTACCACATGGTACTCGACCCCCTTGGTTCCACCCGATAGGAAAGTGGGTGTGAGCAGAACGATCACACGGCATGTCATGTGCTCTGCGCTTCTAAACGCTCTTAGTGTTATTGTATGGCTCTTATGTTGAAATTCCTGCGCTCAAGCAGTTGTTTGCGTGAAACGATAATGGTTGTTCTGTGTGCAACTGCATCAGGTATAAGCGTTGGAATGTTCTCATAGTCGTAATACGGTTGCGGATGTCTCTGTCGGCGGTAGCGACTCTTCGTTGTCGCTGTCTCCTCCGCGTCGCTTTGTCTCCCTCGCCTCTCCTTCCCTCTCCTGTCCTCTCTCCTCGCCGTCACTCCGCGCTGCCGTGCCTTATCTGCCGCTGGCTGATAGGTGCCGCTGGCGGCACGCCCGATTACTTTGTGCCTCCTCCGTCCACCTCCGACCGCGCAAACGTCGACGCTCGTCGCGACAATGTGGCGCGTTTCCGCCCGGGCGGCGCGGACCGGCCCCGCGTGCAGCACCGCGACCGCTGCCGTCGCCGGTCGCGTGCAGCACGGCGTGGCGCGGCGTGACGCACACGATGACGTCACCACAGACGGATACGGCCGCCATGCGTAAGAAGACGGACGAGCCGGAGGACGATGATCAGGCGACTGGCGACGGCGAGCCAATGGCCGAGGGCGAGGAGGAAGAGGAGGAACAGGCGGAGGGCGAGGAGGAGGAGGCCAGGGAGGAGCCGAAGGCGGCCGGTGACGCGGCCAACGAGTCCGAGGAGACTGAAGAACAGAAGGTATGTATTGCTTCATGTTGGGGGGGGGGGGGGAGTTGGTGTGCTGTGATGTGAGTTCGACCCCAGTGATACCAAGACGATTTACCCTTGTGCTGACGTGGGCAGTGCGTCATAGGGCGGTTGAACGACCGTAAAACTCAAATTATGGTCATGGCGTTATCTATGAGTGGCCTGCGTTGGCCCTGTTGTGGCCCTGAGTATGAGTGGCCCTGTTGTTGCGCGGTGCTGGCAAGTGGGCCGGTCCCGATCTGAGCTGCGTAAGCTGCGGTGACCGGCCCTGACGTGCTCGGTCGGCGGCAGGGCAGCGGTGATGAGGCGCCGGCGACGGGCGGTGAGGGGGACGCGCCGCCGGCGTCTCCGCGCCGGCGGCGGCCGCGCCGGGAGTGACGCCGCGCGCGCTCCCAGCTAGCCAGGGATGCCGCTGGAGCTTGCCCGCCGACTGGGACCGCACTAGTCAACGACGCGACCGACGGCGCGGCGCGACGCGCGCAAGGGAGAGAGACCCTGAGAGCGAGGAGTGTGGGACGGTGCCGGCTGCTCTGCTGCTGGGATGTTCGGGCGCCGGCGCCGGCGCGCTGCTGTATATTCATCGCCGCGGGAAGAGGACCGCACCGGTGCAAATGACGAAGTAGGCACCGCTCGGGTAGACGGAACACGACCAGAGCCGGCCCGGCGGTACTCGAATGTTGTCAGACTGCCCAGGGTATCGGAATGGGGCGGACGCCGGCCAGTCGGCGTTTTGTATCTGTCTGAGCATCGGTTAGGTTTGTACCGTTTGTATGTGTTCAAATTGTGTTTGTTTCCATGTGAGTTTTGTGTTGCGTATTGTGCATCGGTATGCAATGATGCGTAGATTGCATGCGCAGGGGTGGGTGAGTGTACTTGTTGGCGTTCCTTTCTCAAAATGTATTCACACACGTTATCGAATAAAGTATCACTTAGAGGTGGCGTTTTGGTGGAGCTGGCAGTGGGAGCTGGCAGTGTGCTATGTTGCGCCGGGAGGCAGAAATCGTCGCAAGGCATGCAGGTAGAGTCCGCTGGATTCACGGGCTGTGGATCCGAACTGTGATCGGTTGAACGAAGGCAGCGTGCCAGCGGCATGTGATGTCAGCGCTGATATGACCACTCTGGTGGCGTAGGCAGCGAGTGGCCTTGTTTACGGCATGGCACCAATATGCCGGGGAAATTCGTCTTGAACTGCCATTCGATATGAATCGGATAATCTGCGCAGTGAAGTGTCAGTTCCCAGTTTTAACAGTGATGGTCTTTTAAACAGGCCACAACCATGTCATTGCGACAGAGGGAGATCGAGCTCTGTCCACCGCATGCGCTGAAGGCTCGCCTGCGTCGCCCTGGAGCTGTCCGTGGTTGCTCCACCCGGACCCCATGAGCGCGTGCGCGGACGTCACGAAATGTCCAGTATGGGCTTGGCCCGGCATTGATGTCAGCCGATGGATGCAAAATGGGCCGCATAGGTCGCTTGAATCGACCCGGGCTACCGTTGTCATGGCAACGGCGCGGGCGCGACAAAACGAACTTCCTGCATTAATGACGTGCTTTCGTTTTTAATAAAGGCCACCGGCAAGTCATTCGCGATCTTGCGTAGTTTCGACGGCTGAATATATGAACGTAGTATGTGCAGCAGCTCAAGTCTGTCCTGCCACTGGCGTTGATATACTTCATATGCAATCATACACATACGCACAGGTCTGTCAGCAGTAGCGTTAGACAAGTTCTTCCCAAATGTCCGAAAGGCTTTATGTGTATGCCTGACGCACGTCCTGTAAATGACATATTATGTTTAAGACTTTACATGGGCTAACAGGTTTTACTAAATCATTTTTAAATGAAACCACTTGCTAAGGGGATGCGCTAAAGTCTTATTAAAAATTAACACGGTGCCCTGTTACAGCGTTGAAAATCAGTAGATCTCATAGCCATTGCTTGTTGCGTGAGCCTTTTGAAATCACCATCCGATCGCATAATGTCTAGTCAATGGCGGATTTCACGGCGAATGCTAAATGTGCCGCACTGTCCGGAACACTTCGTTTTACCCTCTGACGTCATCTAGCCTTTAGCGTTCGAAAAGAAAGCTACCATATCGCAGTCCCAGGCACCAGGGCGACGACATCTGTGGTGATTTCAGCATAACATGAAATATTTATACTGGGGGGATACGGCTCCAAATACGTCACCCAAACGACACGGCTTGCATAACGCGCTCTATTTCCGACGCGGAGACGTCAAGTCGACCCTGGCTGGAACAACCCCTGCGACCGCTGGGGGGGGGGGGGGGACGAATACTGAATATACTGAATACCCGTCCACGAACGCCAACGAATCAGAGCTGCGCTCCTGGCCAAATTCCTGAAACGCCTACGCTGCATGGTTTAATGGTTTAAGGTCAAACGACGCGACCGCAGGCGGGTTAAGCGACCCACGAACCACGTGGCACCCGTCGTAAGTTCAGTGCTGCTGGCACACAGCGTTGCAGTAGCGGCTGGTGTTTCGCACGGCTCGCCGCGATTGTGAGGCCGGCGGGTCATGATTTGGTCGGGGCGCCGCCGACGTGGCGAGGAATGGCCCTGCGGTGGCGTGGGATGAAGTTAATGAGGACATGAGCCTGCCTGGCCTGATGGAATGGAGTTCTAGCGGTCTTTACGTCAGACCGTGAGCTTGATGAAGCGGTTGCTATCCGCTGAAAACTGAAACAGCTCGGAAACGGCTCGGGAGGAATGTGGCTGCTGTCCTCAGGAGGAATGTGGCTTCTGTCCGTTCATGGCGCAGTTTCAGCGCTCTTGTCCGCTATGTGGTGATGATTTCCACTTTTAAGCCACTATGAATGACATTGTAGGTGTGTTCAGAATACGCAGTGGCTGCAATTTAGGGATTGTTTTCATCTTTGGGCTTTGTGGAGATGATACCGGGCCCTACCAGGCCGGTTAAGGGATGGTTGCCGTCCCGAGTACCCGCAAAGCGATTACTGCTGTTGGAATATGACTGGCTCTTTGGTTGCGCATTGTTTTACGTCCTGACCGCCCAGCATTTAAGGGTGCACGCTGTGCAGTGTATGATCTCAAACTGAGTTGTGGCTTGGATTTTGCCTTGTCATCGCGATAACGCTTCATAGTTTTCATGGAAGCCCTTGTTTCTAATGCTTTTTATGACGAAAGTGGAAATGATCAGAGACCATTCGCATCGAACACAATCTTTTCGCATAGGTGATGAGTGCTTACGCTGGAAGCAAACGTTTTGACCCAAAGCTTGTGCGGAATGGTGTAAGATAACGTCACACATTGTTTGACGTCACAGATCGCCAGGTATCATTGACTTTGCATGAATTGTTGATTGGCTCACCAGATTTTGAGCTTGTTTCGCTTTGTTGACGTTTATTTCCGGACGGGTCACGCTAGCGTGTTAGCGTGTGGTGCGGTTCGTAAAGACGGTTGACATCGCGAGCCTATCACGGGTATATGGATTATTGGCTATCTATGTATCACCACGGACCATGACATTGACAACTACCTGGTGCACGCTGCCACTAAACTCGCCGACAGCACCGCACACAACACGCATGTACCACCTTGAACGTTCACATGCACGACAGCGCCTCAAGACAGCCAAACGTCGCACATTGTCACGAAAATACACTCAGCGTCTTAACTTCACTGCAATGTGGCTCAGTTCGGTAACAATACTGGCTGCTAATACTGGGCAAGCGGCTCGATTACTGGCCGCGGCCGAGTCATCCTCTGGCTTGGTGTTTGGATGCTGCGCGTGTTGGTGTAGGCCCCCTCTGTTGCTCGTAAATTTCGCTCCATAAAATAATCTTACAAACAGTTTGTTTGGTAGTCACCCACATTGCATTTGAAACATGGTTGCGCCGTCTCCAATCCTCTGGCCTCTGACCATTCACTTCCTGGCCGCTGATCGTTGAACAATTCGACTTTGACCGTTTGACCTATTCACCTATGACCTATGACCTTTCAACCTTTGACCTCTCAACCTAACCTTGGAATACCAGACAGTTTTTATCTGGTCTGCTGACCCCTGAATAATTACCCTACCTTACCTTTTCACAACAGCCATCAGGGCCGATCAAGTGCAGGTTTCCCTAACTTACATGGCACACCTCTCACAACACTATAGTAAAATAGAACACTATTCAGTGGATGAGGGTGCGGCAGACCAGGGTCTTGCGGCCGTTCGGGTCGGCCTGGTCGCCTAAACAGACGCAATTCCGGCGTCACGCCATAAAATGGCCGAAAATGGACCCTTCTCTCAGCGTCTTAGTCTCGCGAGCTTGTCAATAAGGTGGACAAGTTGTGTGGCGAGGTCACGGTCTAACTGGGACGCAGAGTATTCCCGCCGCGGTCGTCCCACACGGTGCGGTGGTGTGGGCGTACAGTACATTGCCAACCGACCTTCGATGCGTGATCACCAATGTCTACAGGTAACACATCCCACGAGTCGCCTCTGCAACATCGCATCAACGACGCGCCTACGCCCTAGACAACTCCTACCAGGGGCGCAGCCGGGGCGGCATCGAGACAGCTTCACCTGCGCGCGAATTGACTCGGCAACCTCGTCGACGTCTTCCCTTTGACTAGCAATTTCCCGCAGATCCCGGCTGCGCGCCTGAAGCTACCAACGCAGATGTGAAGCGGTTACACCAAACGCCGTGCCGCGTGCCGACGGAGAGTCCGACGGCGGCGTGTCTCCCGCGCACCGCCCGCGGGCAGGCCTTGCCGTGCCGAGTCTCAACGGAGGGTCCGACGGCGGCTTGTCTCCCCGCGCCGCCCGCGGGGCAGACCTCGCCGTGCCGCGTCTCGACGGAGGGTCCGACGGCGGCGCGTCTCCTGCGCGCCGCCCGCGGGGCAGACCTCGCCGAGTGGCGTCAGCACTGGCCGTCGCGCGCTGACACGGCACGCCCCCCCCCCCCCCCCCCGGCGGGCGGAGATGGCTGCCGTCTCGGGACACGCTCCGCCGCGAGATGGGCGGCCCAGACCGCGGCGGTGACCCCGCTCCGGCCGCCTCCCGGTACTTGGGTCTGCTCCAGTCTTCTGCTGACGCCGGTGACGATGTCAGCTGGTAAGGTTGGCCAGCCGGCGAGGACTCGTCTCACGTTCAAGGGCGATGTTCCGGGCGTGTGGACCGCGTCTGATGGGGCGTGTACGTCCGGTCGGTCGCTGGTGCGGCTGAGTGGACCGAATGGACCGTGTCGAACCCGTCTCCTCCGCCGCACCGCCTGCGGTCGGCTCGCTCGTCTGCACCGGTCGAGGCAGAGCTGTTCGTCCCACTCACGATGGCTTTGGTCCATGTGTCTGGAGAGCCGCAGGATTCTGGTAAGTCCAGAGCCCAGGGGTGTCCATCGGGGTCTCGGCGGTCCGCCCCTCTGAGGCGTCCAGCAGGCGGCGACGTGGTCACGTCCTGGGCTATCCAGCAGCGGGACTAGTTGATTCGCCGGTCCGAGGCGTCCAGCGGCGGCAGGCAAGCCTCGAAGTCGCGTAGAGCCCGGTGGATGAAGATGTACTGCTCGGCCGTCTGGACCATGCCTCCCCTGCGACAGCGCGGTGACAGCGGTCCGGTAAACAAAACACACTGGCACAGTCAACAGAAGACACCGGTCTGGTCAAAAGAGGGGAACCGATCCATTCAACGGAGAGAGATTGTTGCGTCAACCAGACGCTCACAGCAAGGACTTTTTATAGTAGGTTCGGTAATTCCACAGACGATCGGGAAGGCGTTTGTACAACACACACGTTGTGCTCGTTTGCATGCGGTCAGAAGTAAATACACTGCGGCGGGGCAATGAAGCAACGTCCCTGATCTGTGCACACTTTTGGCGTAGCTAGTAACTCCATGGGTTTGCAAGGCTTGGAACCAGCCTATCTGTGAAAAGTTAAACATTGTACATGCACCGTAGCAAACCCTATCTCTTGAACCCCAAATTTGAATAATTTGTATTCAAAAGTGCTTCCTGAATGTCTTTTCTGAAAAAAGAGCTGCACGAATGCCCACGGGCGGTGGAAAGTTTCTCCGTCGGTGCACCGAGCACAGTCGCAGTGGACAAATTCGCCTGCCAAATGAATATTCTGCCTGTTTTCATGACCAAAATATTGTTGCCTTGATCATATTTTCAGCTGAAAAGTCCATCCAGCGTGAACACTCATCGGTCTAGTAAAACCTCAACTTGTGGTCTTAATAAAGACCGCGTTTCGTTGAATGAGATTCGTAGCCATTTTTAGCAAATGACAAACACAATAAGAGTGTTTTACTCATTTACTTCGCCTGCCATTTGCGGATGCCTTTTGGACCATGCGACTCAGTTTTTTGCGGAGCTTTGCGCTCCAGACCCAGCGGCCCAGTCAGTTATCTCTTTTATTACCAATGCTTTATTTCTCCGGGTGATGTCAGTATGTCAGCCTTCAGGGTTATCAGAAGCGGATAAACGTGATTCACAGCCTAAGCTGGATAAGGCTATGAGATCTGTCTTGATCGAACAGTGATGGAAATGGTAAAGGAATCCAGAGAAATGACTCGGTCCCACTGGGTTTTGCTGCGCACGTCACATTTAACCAGCCACCAACCGGCTGCGTCGGTTACCGGCCGGTCCGTCGGCCGTCAGGGCTTTTGCACCCTCGGTCACGTGACAGTTCGAGTTATCAAATAACACTGATTGATCGCATCCAAGCCCTAACGTCTAGGCCTCGGTGGTTATGGTTGTGTCCATGTGTGTAGGAACAGGGGGGGGGAGGCAGGGGGGCATGCCCCCCCCTTTCAAGGTGGGGGGCAGCAGTGCTAGCTGCTTCCCCCCGCTACTTTTGAGATTAAGATTGTGTTTAGCTTGCTTTTGCACTATATTAAAAACATACATGGCGATTTACATATTTCACCAGCCTTCTTCCCCAAGATGCGTCATCTTTTTCGTTCGCTCATTGGCCATCGCTTAGTATCACAGCCGCAAGGCCGACGCCCCACGGCCCACGAAGACTGCAACGCCGGGCGTCGAGGCAGTTGTTGCTACGACTTGCGAGCGAGCATGTTCAAAACCATATGTCATAGCTTTTATCGGTCATCAGTTCTGACTGAACCTTGAAGTTTTAAGATGAACATGGATTATCCATGTTGATACAACTTTGGGACCCCTTTCATCTATAATCTACGTTGAGGGGTCCTCAATATTTCTGAATAACAGAAAAACATGGAAACGAAGTCATGTGCCAATTATTGGACCACCTGCAACGACCAGGGATGTTATTGCCTCCATGAGCGTTCCTGTGCTGATCCGGGACCAACTACGCGTGTCAGAAAATCTCCCGGGTCAGGGAGGCCTTCTGATCAATGTGATATAATATATCCTTCTTATGGCCTCCGGATGGACCAGGAGACCCTGCCTCTGTCGCCAGAACGACAGCCAGAAGATACTTTGCGATCGGACGGAATAGCCGTTCAGCCCTTGACCGGAAACGGTAATGTGCCCCTGGTGTTCTACTCAAGGGGCCCTTGCCCGAAGGAAATAAGGAGTCTCATTATTGTTGAGTAGAGTGGGGGTCTCATTATTGTTGAATAAAGTGGGTCGAAATGAGCTTAAGAAATGAACAAGGCCGTCCCATGTTCACCTCAGCATGTTCATTTTTTCAGAACGGATTAGTGACACAAACAACATCAAAAGGTTTGATGTGCCCACCCGCAGCCTCGAGAGCAAGGACATCGACGGCATGTGCTGCAGCTTCCGCAAAACCGAACGGCTTCGGCCATTGCAAGTGCCACCAGACAGCGGACGCCTTGTTAATCTGTCTTCTGGACGGACTAATAATTACAGACACACTAAAAATAGAGATTCTACCTTTACTCCCCCAGTTCAACCACCAAAACCAGCCCCACTTCGCCGTGCTTTAAGGGCGAATCCGTTCTTTTTCGGGTGCGCATGCTCAAAATTACGTCGCATAACTTGTAGTGCTAATCGGTTATTGTGTTTAAAGATAAATATTTCAGATATGTGATCATTTTCGTCCACCGGTAGGCCAGGGCTAAACGTTAGCTACCGGACTAGGGCTTCGGGGACCATGGAGACTGCAACGCCTGGTATGGAGGTCTTTGCAGTTAAGATTTGCGGGCGCGCATGTTAAAAAACCACGCTACATAACTTCCATCACTAATCGATTCTGACTGAATAGTGAACATTTCCAGACGAGCGCGGCTCGGCCATGCTAATACACAATGTTGACGACTCGATCTGCTATTAAATTTTCATCTTCAAATTTTGATCAAATGTTTTGATCTAATTTACCTTCGTGGTGTCCTTAATGTCTGTAGAACCCAGATAAAAAATTCCGACAAATCTTCTGAATTCTATCGGTTTAGAAAGTTGCCTGCGTTGAATGATGGGCAATGAAATACTCGTTGGGCCAATTCATACCTAAGGGAGGCAGCTTCCCGGAGGCTATTTTTCTGCTGTGGTGTGGTATGAGGGAAGATAATTCGGAAAAAGATGCTGTTGCAGGTGTCCAACAAATGTTTCGTGCACCGTGTAGTAGTAACGCTGATCCAAAAGTATGCAACAAGGCGGCCGTGCGATCAGTTCACAGTCAGTCACGCGGGAGATAGCCGGGCCAGGACAGTGGCCGCCGACGGCGGACAGCAGCAGGGCCCAGATAAGAAACATATGACAGACGGACCTTCATTATGTGGCTTCGTTTTTAAAAGAGAATCTCCAGTTTTACGGTTTTTGTAACACTGTTTTTGGCAATTTCACGTTTCCGAATTTGTTTCTGCCTAAAACACCGTGAGAAGTCTTTTTTTCAAAGAAGCCACCGAAATCAAGGCGCATGAAAAATATGTCGCAGGTGTGAGCCATAGATTCCCTTCAGAAAGTCTCACCAGCCTATGTCCAGACCGTATTGTGGCATCTACCCTCCGGAAACAGATGCCTCCTTGATGGCCCAAACTGCTTATCCGCCCGTGGAATTTTGCCTCCTTAGAAAAGACAATGTTAAAATGGACGAATAATCTTGCGAAGCTGGATATCCTTATTTGCAGAATGACATAGATGAGTCGAATGGGTGTGCACCAGTAAGAAACAGCTTTAGATGCATATGTAGCATAGCAGCCATGACATTTGAATAAAGAATGATAACAAACTCCATCTCTACTCCCCCCCCCCTCCCCTCGGTCATCGGGCTTGCGTTCCAGAAAAAGCTCCTGAAGTATACTCTGAGCTTGCCCCCTCCCCACTTTTCGAAACGTCCCTACGCCTATGATTGTGACCAATACCCTTCAATGACCTTGGGCGTAGGAACAGGAAGGGGGGCCAGGGGGCCATGGCCCCTCACTTTTCAAGGTGGGGGGAGGGGCAGCAGTGTTGACTGCCCCCCCCCCTCATTTTTCAGGTTAAGGTTGTGTTTAGCTTACTTTAACACCACATTTAAATATACATGCCAGTTTACCTGGTTCACCAGCTATCTTCCTCAAGATGCGCCATCCTTTTCGTTCGCTTATTAGCCATCGCTTAATGTCGCAGGCCAACGCCACGCGGCCTATGGAGACTGCAACGCCGGGTGTCCAGCCTGTTGTTGCTATGACTTGCGAGCGCTTATGTTCAAAACCATATTGCAAAGTTTTGTTATCACTAATCAATTCTGGCTGAGTCTTGAACATCTTAAGACGAACGTAGATTAGCTATGTTGATACAAGCTAAGGACCCCATTTCATCTACAATCTACGTTCAGGTATTCCTCAATATCTCTGAAGAAAACAGAAAAACGCGGAACTGGAGGATGTGTGACAATTACTGGACCGCCTTTGGCAATCAGGGATGTTGTTGCGCCATTGGTGGTTCCTGTGCTGATCCGGGGCCACCTGCGTGGGTCAGAAGGCCTCCCGTGTCAGGGAAGGGAACAACGTGATATAATATATCCTTCCAATGGCCTCCGGATCGACCAGGAGATCCCGCCCCGTGTCGCTAGAATGACAGCCAGAAGACGTTTCGCGATGGGACGGAGTTGCCTTGACTGGAACCGTTAATGTGCCCTTGGTGTTCTACTCAAGGGTCCCCTTGCCCGGAAGGGGTCTCATTATTGTTGAGTAGATTGGAGGTCTCATTATTGTTCAATAGAGTAGGTCGAAATGAATTTTGAAAAGCAGACAGGGCCATCCCATGCTAACAATGTTCATTTTCCAGGATGGATTAGTGAAAAAATGCATCAAAAGGTTTGAACATGCCCGCCCGCAAACTCGAGAGCAAGGACAGGGATGGTCTGGGTTGCAGATTCTGTAAAACCGAACGGCGTCGGCCTGTGCAAGTGCCACCAGACGGCGGGCGCCGTGTTCATCTGTCTTCTGGACAGGTTAATAGTTACGTAAACACGAAAAATATAGAATCTACCTTTACTCTTTCAGCTTCACCACCAGATTCCAGCACCACTTCGCGGTGCTTAAAGGCCAATGCTTTCTTGTCCATCAGTCTAAAAATTGCACACGTGAAATATACGCTCCGAACGCCTTATACATGTAGGATTTGAAGTCCTGAAGCGTTCAAAGGTATTTCTTTCAGAAGCG